AAAATAAATTCAAACAAAATATCACATCAAATCCTATAACTATTTTATTTTTTTCTCATAAATATCACATCTAACCACAAAAAAACTTAACTATCTTCCCAAACATTAAAAAAAAAAATTTCTAATAATATCCAACAACTAAAAAAATCTACCAAAAAAACTCACTTCCCAAATACCCACTAAATCTACAAAAATGATTGGTGGCCCTAAAAATTTTGCCCCTAATGCCCCTAATTTCTAATTTTGGAAACTGTTTTTTTTTTTCTTTCTTTTTTCCTTTTTTTTTTTTTTACCTAACGATTCGGCATTAGACCCCGAAAATTGGATTATTTAGATTCTGCCTTTTTTTCGGTGTTTTTGGTTGTTTATCGTCGGCCCTCATCACTGCGCCTAAATGCTATAAACAAAAAATATTCTTATAAATTTATTTTATTTTTTATTAAGATGGTGCCTTGTGTTAAAAAAAAAAAAAACAAAAAATTCTTCTAAGTGAAAAATTATTTTATGTAATGATTAGGCTATGTGGTTGAGGTGATATGATGTATTTGTTTATTTATTATTTGCTATGTGGTTAAAAAGAAAATCACATTTTTTATATAATTAAACATACACAATTTTATAATGAGCATAAAGTGATTTCTTGGGTCTCAAATAATATATCAAGCTAACTTAATCACATGATGTATTCATTATATAAAATATTCTTTTTTAATTGTTTTCACATTTTATGGGGTGTTTTAGGGTGATAGAGAGAATAATATTTTTTATTCTAATTTTATTACTTTTCATTTTAATTTTAATATACTTTTAGTTATGTATTTTAAAATTCTCATGATAATAGTAATAAATGGTGATAACATATAAAGTTAAGTGGTTGAGAACAAGAATAACACTGAGACAAACAATGGTTCGCAAAAAAAGAATGAACCTCAAGAACGAGGTCTTCCCCTTATGAACAAAGCAAATTACTTATGATTATATATAAAAGATGTCAGCCTCACAAAGAATATATACGAAAAATAGCTGACTTAATCATTGAAGTGCCTTTTAGCTACTCCTCATGTGTATGTTAGCAAACAATTCTATAGTGACAATTTTTTCCCTTTGAAAGGAATGAATATCCTTATATTTGTCAAGAACCTCATGAAGATGAGGATAGTATCAATGTGATTTACCCTATAGCAATAGGATGTTAAAATATGGTGGAGGTACTGGCAACAATGGTTATGTCTAAATGAAAGTGATATTATGAGATTACTAAATGCAAGTGATAACATTAGGTACCAATGGTAGTGATGATTATAATTAGGGTCAGAGTTAAGATTTCTGTTTAGTGGAACAATTTTGCAAAATAATTTTGTTACATATAACTATGTATATAAAAATGTAAATTTCTAAAGGTCAATGGGGCAATTACCCTTATCTCCTTACCCCTTTGGTTATAATGGCAATGGAAGTCACGGTCTGAGCAGCAACATCAGTAGAAATGGTAATAGTGGATGGTATGTGGGACAACCCTCACCAGTGATTAGTGCTAATCTATGATTAAGCATGTTAAGTGACTGATTGACTGAAATTCCGAACTGATTGATTGAGTGTATTAGTTGAATGCAAAACTATCTGTTGACTGCTAAATGATCTGTTCATGTTTTTTGTTTTAAACTGCAAATTGAAGGCCTTATCAGCGGCCGAATCCGAAACTGATTAGTGTTTAATGCTAATTAGAATTTATGTGATTTTATGGTATGTTTAATTAAAATTTGATTTGGTATGATTAAATTGGATTAAATAAGCTAAATTACATTAGTTGGACTTATCTACCAAAATGCCACTTAGTGGACTAGTTCATGAGCCTTTTATTTGATTTCTATATGCTAGCATTCTAACATTTCTTCAGCCATTTCTTGAGCCATAACCAACTAGAGAGAGAGAGAGGAAAAACTTGATTTCAACAAATTTAGCTTGGAGACTTGAAGATTTTGAAGAGAAATTGCATAATTGAGCTCTTAGACTTGAAATTGAGGACCTAAGGTAGGAGAATCATCCTCTTGAACTTGTATTTAAGTTGTATCTTCCATGTTTCATGAGCCTTTAGTGATTAGAGTCTAGAATTGGTTCAAAATGTTGAATTGAAGCTTAAATCATGTATGCATGTACATGTTTTAGCATTTTGAGGTTGTTTTCATGGAAATTACTACATGCATGTCCATATCTTGATTATAGTTCATGAATTCATCATGTTTTTGAAATGATTGACTCATTTGTTCTTGTATTAAAAGCTTTGAAGTTGATTAAATTCATGCATGTTGCATGTACACCATGTTCTTGAAGTTTTGTTTGGAAATGGGTTCAATTGAACTACCTTTGGGCTTTGATTTTGCAAATTGATCTTTGAAACATGTCATATTATGAGTTTTAAAGTGTTTTCCAGAAAAGTAGCCCAAAATGATCGAATTTGATGCTTTAAATGTTGAGTTTCATACTTGGAGACAAATCTGAAAATTCCAAATTTTGGATCCACGCTCGAGCGAAGAACTCCACGCTCGAGCGTACACTCTGAGTTCATGCAGTCCGCTCGAGCGAGTAAAGTAACGCTCGAGCGTGAAATGCGTGTATCCAGTACTTTGAATGTGTTTACAGTCCGCTAGAGTGAGGGAATACACGCTCGAGCGAGGACTTGTGTCTCACGCTCGAGCGGGGGTCAAGCGCCGTCGAGTGTGAATTTCATGCATCCAGTACTTTTACAGTCCGCTCGAGCGAGGAAAGTCACGCTCGAGCAGAGCTCCTTTGTCTGCATGTCCACTCGAGCATAGAAAACCACGCTCGAGCGAGACCCCTGTTTTCTGAAAATTCTGAAAAGTGTTTTAAAGTGCATTTTTGCATCCTCATTCCATCCTAGGCATTCCTAGGCCTAGTTTAAGGCATCTTAATGAGGATAATGCTATAGAACCACACCGAGTCAAGATATGGACTAAGTCATTGATTCCCAAGTGTGTAACTTAGTGTGTGTTTATCCTGTAACTGTGTAGGGTTGGCATCCGAGGACGCTCACTAGCCTGTCTGTAGCCCAGAACTCTATGAGTAACAATGTTGTAAAGATATATTCAATCATGGATATTTTCTGAACGATCAACTGTACTGTTTTCTGAACTGATATTTCTTACTGAATGAATGCTTGTCCTATTTGCGAACTGTATTCGTGGCATCCATAGTAATTTATTGTTACTGTACTGTACTGCTACTGTCACAGAGATCTCTGTCGGTTTCCATGTTTGGAACCACTACTGTTTACTAATATTATGGCCATCAATTGACTGTTCGGTCTGTTAAGACCTACTGTACTAGTTGCTATTGGATGTACCACTTATGACTGCTACGATCGAATAACTGATATACTGTTCAAATGACTGTTTTAATACTGAAAGAACATTTATTCCTAACCTCTTTACGCATATGTTATTCACTGGGCCTTAGCTTACTGTTTATATATATATGTAGGTGTCCAAGCACCGGATCGGAGCTAAGAGCATTGGGTTAAACTCCCTTTTTGTCAAGCCAACCAACGTGCCTCACTGAGAGATTCCAAGTGTGTCCAAGCCAAGGCTGCTACGGGGTGTTTTAGATTCCCTCTTTCTGTCTCTGTTTTTGTATAGACTGACTGTACCTGTACTGTACTGTACTGTTCTAATAGGGATTAGGTCCCCCTCCTGGATGATTGTATATGTATGTATATATGTTTTGCTTATGAATGTGAATGTTCGGAAAAGTCTTTTTGCATACAGACTGTCACAGCTCATTGGACATCTTTTTATTACTGTTTTGGCTTCCGCCAGCCCCTGTACTCTGTATTACTGTTATTACTGTTAAGCAGGCCTTCGGTAATCACAGATTACTGACCGGTTACGGTACTAAACCCATAGGGGCGGGTTTGGGTCGTGACAATATGCGATGATGGGTGATAATGGAATTGGTTTTATAATGACGTGTTAAGGAGGTGGTGCCAAGCATAGAGCTTGGATCTTCTATCTAGAACCACCCTTGTCCACTTTGTTACTACACAATAGGTCTACTCGACTTGATTTTAAAGTGAAAATGAATCTTGAAACATTGAGACATGAAAAATTCAAACAAAGAATTCCTGCCTTGCCCGACATCACCTTTAACCAGCAAAAATTCTGAATCTTGTTAGAGAATTGCACCAAATTTTGAGCCCATAGTCCACACCACAAAAAGACCAAACACAATGTGTTCCCATAATTGACAAGGCAATAACACGAACCTATTATGATATTTGGCTTGGCACTAGGGTTGAGAAATTCATAAAAATGAAAGCTTCAGCTCCATGTTTCTCTTGAAATGTGCTAAATCACAAGGGAATGGACCACATTAAACATGCTTTGGATCACATCTAGACAAATAGAAACAGGACGGGCATGCAATGACACGAAATACACCTCATAGTGAAAAAATATGCCTACTTATATTTATAGACAAACTAGTTACAGCAAGACCCACACAAACACACAGATTTTCAGTCACAAAAGCCAAAATTCACAGGTCCTGAGAATAAGAAATTTAAGAGAAGATCTGTTTGGGATCCAAGCGACTGCAAAAAAAACCCAGATTTCAACTTTTTTCCATCTATGCAGCAATGATTCAACCAACTAATAAAACAGGAACTAACCCCAATTGGAGGTTTTTTTTTTTTTTTATGGGGGTTTTTTTTTTTTTTTAAAAAAAAAAAAAAGTCAAATTATAAAAGAACATGTAAAACAGGTCTTATCCTTTACTTTCCAAAGTCAAGCCTAAAGCAATTGGCCCAAGCAGCACTGAAAATCTTCCCTTACATATTCATATGATATAACATTCACATGCAAAGAGATTAAAACAGGTCTCATCCTTTACATGGTTACTTTACCTAAGAAAGCTAGTAGAGTCGGGTTAATTCTTCTTCCATAAGCATGCAAACAAAGTGCTCAGGGAATAAAATAAAAAAGTTCTCATTTAGTCCACCAATGAAGGTAAACTTTGTGCTTGTTGATCTTCTTTTGCAGTTGGAAGATTCCAAAACGCAAGGCCTCTGCAATAGGCAGGCAATCTGGAACATAAATGTCAACTGGGACAATCCTGTCATAACCAGGAACAACAGAGTACAAGTAATGGTAATATCTACCACCATTTGCACAGTTTCCCATAGAGATGACCCACCTTGGCTCAGGCATTTGATCATAGACCCTGCAATTAGTTTTTGTTGGAGAAAATACTAGAAAAATTATATTTTATTGATAAATAATGCAAAGAAAATGAGATACAAATAGATCAGGCTGAGGCATGGATATCTCTTTTTCCTTAAGGAGATCAAGCTTACTGAGGTAGGAAGAATCCAAATACCGATGCAGCAGTCACAAAGTTATGATTTGTCCCCTCTAAGATACAACAACCCGACCACTTGTCGTATGGTTCAGGCCAACTTTGCACAAGGTGGTGAACCCAAAGCTCCACCAAGAAAAAACACCATTTTTTACTTGTAATCTCTCAAGTATAAACAATAGTTGGTGTTAGAAAAGAGTAGATGAGACGAACTATTTATAGGCCGCTAGGACCTTACAATTTACACTAAAGAATAATAATGACCATTCAACTAGATAAAATAGAGAGTCTCCAAATAGTAACTCACCACCAAGTCCATGAACTTTCAATTAATCTCTATTCATGAACAAGACAAAAAGGTCACCAAAAAACAATGAATCTCCATTCATGAACAAGATAAGATTCATGAACAAGACAAAATAAGATTCATGTATAAAACCAAAAAAGTAACAAAAAAAAAATAAAAAAAATAAAAGATATTAAAATGGTCCAATAATCCCCCACTCATTTTAATATCAACAAGGACAAGAGAGATTATTAACCAAAGATAGATAGTATGCATCATGAAGGTGTGCTCTGCATTGAACCTTCATTAGTGAAACAACAACCTCAACTTCAGAGTCAGTAGTGATATCAGACTTGAACTATGACTACTTAGGAGAAATAAAGTATTACTGCTCACACATAATAACCCAGGTGTTGACATGTGCTTTTAATAGCCAGCACATTACGGCCTTATGCTAATCCCAATTTCCATGAGCATATTTGAGAATAAGCCTTGTTCTCATAGAAAGTGGCCCCATTTTCATGCTCACATAGGTGAAATTTGTCAAGCATGTTCTTATAATTTACACACCTCACTTAACAAAAGCTATAAAATTTCATTAAGAGTATAAAAACTCAACCCTTCAACATTACAGGACAAATGCACTTACATCATAGGGATGGACAACAAAATATTAAGGAGTGCATGTATTACAACCACCATATGATTCGTTCTTCCCATTAAACCTAGTTACAGGATCTCTAGTCCCCAGGTTGAGTGTCCTCATACATGATTTATGATTTTATAGGCTTCAAACCCATCCCCCTCGATGTATTCCAGACCATATCTCTTGCCAAGGCCTTGGTTAACGGATCCGCAAGATTATCACAAGATTTTACATAATTCCCAATTATGATGCCATTACTCAAATAGGATCTCACATTACTGTGTTTCCTTCGAATTGGTCCGGATTTACCATTATAAAAATGATTGTTACCATTATAAAAATGATTGTTCACTCTACCAATAACAGCAGTGCTATCACAATGAATTAACAAATAAGGAATTGGTTTTTCCCAAAAAAGGATTTCATGTAACAAATCTCTCAACCAATTCGCTTCCTCAAATGCTGAAGCTAACATTATAAGCTCAGCTTCCATAGTAGAATTATCAATTATAGTATGTTTTTTAGACTTCCAACATATAGCACCACCACCCAAGGTAAAAATAAAACCCGAGGTAGAGAGAGAATTGTGGGGACATAATTTTTGAATGACAACACGTGGCCGAGGTGTCACCGAAGTGCTAGCTGATGTGCCACGTGTCCTGGTCATGATGCCGAGATCATCTCGGCTAAGCCGAGGTTATCTGTGAAGATACCGGAATCCGGAACAAGCGGATAAGGGACAAGAGTCCTAGAATGAGAGAGGACTTCAGTTTAGGTAAAGATAAGACTCTTAGAGAGTTTATCCCAATTCTACTAGGAGTCCAAGATTAGCAGTAATCCTAAGTCCATTGAAGCTAGGCTTCTATTGGGACTAAGTTTGTGTTGGTTATAAAAGAGAGGCACCCTCATGGGTCTAAGGTATGCTTTTTATGCTCTGAATAGTGAGTTAAGCACTTTTGCTATCTTTGAGAGATAATTGACTTGATCGTCGGAGTGCCCCCGGGTGGACGAACCACAGTCGGAATCTCTTCTTTTTGTTGACAGGTCGTTCGGGTTTAATCTATTCTGCCGGTGCTCTCCAGCTAAGTACTAGTTTAGCAGTGTGGTCGGAAATTGACACACACAATTTGGCGCCGTCTGTGGAAAAGAAAGGAGAATAGATGGCCAACGACGGACAGAAAGAGAAGGTTGGGGACGACACCCCTACTGAGAGTGGGAAACATATTGACCTTGACGTCGAAGAAGACAATTGCAACGAAGAGACTCGTGATAAGAATCACGGAGGAAAGGATGTCGGCCAGGAGGGTGACATACCGAAGAAATCAGACCGGAGCGGGTATTATAACGAGGACGACCTCCAAGTATGGAAAGATAGATGCCTGCGGGGGGACGACAAGATGAAAGGAATGGCGGACAAATTGGCAGACCTGCAAACGATCATCAATTTTATGATGCAGAACAACGTCATGCAATCACCGTTCCCTTTACAAGATACGCCGATTTCAGCGACCAAGAAAGATGCCCAGAAAGGGGGGCAGAACACAGTTCCTGTAGTCCCTTAGCACGACAGGGCAAAGGGGCATTCTCACCGGCCTTCACGGGAGGTCGGGCATGGAGAATCAAAGAGGGCTGGAGAATGATGCTTGGGAGTTAGAATTTACAAGCTAAGGTTGGTTTAACACTTGTTGAAATTTTAAGAAAAATTTACAAGTTGAAGTTAAATCGAGGTCATGTTTAACACTTGTTGAAATTTTAAAAATTTACAAGTTGAAGTTAAACCGAGGACATGTTTAACACTTGTTGAAATTTTAAAAATTTACAAGTTGAAGTTAAACCGAGGTCATGTTTAACACTTGTTGAAATTTTAAGAAAAATTTACAAGTTGAAGTTAAACCAGGGTCATGATTAAAGGAATGAATGATATAGGTTCCATCACCTCAGGATGCCGAGGTAATAAAACCTAGGGGGCAGTTGTGGGGACATAATTTTTGAATGACAACACATGGCCGAGGTGTCACCGAAGTGCCAGCCGAGGTGCCACGTGTCCTGGTCATGACGCCGAGATCATCTCGGCTAAGCCGAGGTTATCTGCGAAGATACCGGAATCCGGGATAAGCGGATAAGGGACGAGAGTCCTAGAATGAGAGAGGACTTCAGTTTGGGTAAAGATAAGACTCTTAGAGAGTTTATCACAATCCTACTAGAAGTCCAAGATTAGCAGTAATCCTAAGTCCATTGAAGCTAGGCTTTTATTGGAACTAAGTTTGTGTTGACTATAAAAGAGAGGCACCCTCATGGGTCTAAGGTATGCTTTTTATGTTTTGAATAGTGAGTTAAGCACTTTTGTTATCTTTGAGAGATAACTGACTTGATCGTCGGAGTGTCCCCGGGTGCACGAACCACTGCCGGAATCTCTTCTTTTTGTTGACAGGTCGTTCGGGTTTAATCTATTCTGCCGGTGCTCTCCAGCTAAGTACTAGTTTGGCAGTGTGGTCGGAAATTGACACACACAAGAATCACCTGCCAAAGTGTTCTAATCGGCATCACTATATCCCTCAAGTACCGCATAATTCTTGTTAGTACCAGATAAATATCTCATAATTTTTCCCATGGCTAGCCAATGATCTCGACTTGGCTTCCTAGTAAATTTGCTAAGTACTTCAACAGCATATGCAATATCATGTCTAGTATAGTCAATAGCATATCTCAAACTACCAATCATGCTAGCATATTCTTTTTTATTAATCACTTCTTCTTTATTTGTTACAACAGATAAATATATACTTGCATCAAAAGGAATAGCAACATGTTTACAGCCTAGAAAATTATATTTCTTTAAAATTTTCTCAACATAATGCGACTGATCAAGAAAAATGTCATCATTAGTCTTGGTAATTTTAATTCTCAAAATAAAATTAGCTTCACCAAGATCTTTCATATCAAAGTGGCTATTAAGTATATTTTTAGTCTCATTTATAATATGTAAATTAGAGCCAAAGATAAGTAGATCATCCACATACAAGCTAATAATCACATGTGCATTTTCACAAGGTTTATAATACATGCACTTATCATATTTATTATTCTTATAGCCATTCTCAAGCATGCAAGAATCAAATTTCTTATACCACTGTTTAGGAGTTTGTTTTAAACCATAAAGGGATTTAGTTAGCTTACACACCTTACTTTCTTGGCCAGGCTCTACAAAGCCCTCGAGTTGGTCCATGTAAATCTCCTCATCTAGATCTCCATTTAAAAATACTGTTTTTACATCCATTTGATGAATTTTTAAATCATGAATTGCAGCTATTGCTATCAACAGTCTAATGGATGTAACTCTAATAACCAGAGAAAAAGTATCAAAGAAATCAAGATCAACTTGTTGCTTAAAACCTTTAGCGACAAGTCTCGCTTTATATTTATCTATAGTTCCATCCGGTTTAAGTTTTTTATGAAGGACCCATTTACACCCAATAGTTTTACAACTTTGAGGTAAATCCACTAGCTTCCATGTTTTATTTGAAAGTAGTTAATCTATCTCATCATTTACAGCCTCTCTTCAAAAAATAGCATCAAGTAACAATAAAGCTTCTTGCACCGTAAGAGAAATTTATTCCACATTGTAAAGATAATAGTCAGGGCCAAAATCTTTTTTAACTCTAGCTCGTTTACTCCTTTTTGGTTGAATTTGAGAATTTTCTTATTCTTAAAAAACTTGAGATGAAGTAGAAGAGTTAGGCATGGATAAAATATTTTCAGAAATTATTTGACCCCCACTATTTCTAGATTTGAAATGAAATTTATTTTCCTAAAAAATAGCATCACATGATTCAAAAATAATATTATTTTTCATATCAAAAAATATATAAGCTATACTATGCAATGCATACCCAAGAAAAGCACAAGTGGTAGCTTGTTCACCCAATTTAAGTC